CCTTCACTCAACTCTCCATGTTTCTGGCTACTTTTGAGAATCCAGGAGGCAAGGTTTAAGCTGCAGCCCTGATCTTCTGTCCTATCCCAATGATGGGTAAATACTGTAATATTTCTATTCATCCAGCTTTCCTTCCTAAATACCATTCAGATCAATATATTATTGAATAAATGCTATGAGCAAACAATATTAAGATGCTTTATTTCATGTCTGAAGGGGAAGGTGTGCATGGGGAAAGTCATAGGAAGTTGCCTTAGACTGAGAAAGACCATGGGCCCACTGACTTCAGCCAGGTTCAAACTAACGAGCAGTTGGTCTCCAATATTCCAGACAGGGGTCTCACCCTACCAATCTGGAGATGTCAGGGGTTGACCATGAGTCCTTTTTTATGCATGCAGATTGATTTTAATTACATACTTGACTTGATATGGCAGATATTCATATGGCAGATATTCATTTGTGATATAAGATGTGTCTCTTGCCTTTTATTTATTTATTTGTGTGTGTGTGTGTGTGTGTGTGTGCTTGCAAAAAATCAAAGTGGCTTCCAAAAAACAAACATTAAAACACAAAAATCATTACCATAAACCCAATAAACCCAATAAAATCAGTACAATTTTGGGGGGAAATATTCCTTAATTGGTAATGATTAAACTGCCTAGGGACTTTAGGGACATGATCAGAACAGGAGATAAGCTGTGAAAGCAAAGGAAAGAGGTCAGTGTACACATAATATTAAATGTGAGATACGCTGGCTATTATGCAAGCTTTCTTTGTATGCTAACTTAAAGAGGGTCTGGAGTGGGCTGTCTCCCGCTCCCAGTGGAAGAGTTGTTACTTTTCTCTTTAAAGGTAAAGGGACCCCTTACCATTAGGTCCAGTTGCGGACGACTCTGGGGTTGCGGCGCTCATCTTCCTTGTATTTCTATATCCAGCAATTGGATACAGACAAGTGGGAGTTTTGGGTTTTGGGTTTTTGTTTTTTGTTTTATATAAAAAAGCACCAGGAAGCACACTGTCCTATTCAAGCATATGCAGTACACACATTACAAAATGATACAGCTGCTCTGAAATAAAAAGCTGTACAGAAAACAAAATATTTATGTAAGGTAACTCTCCTGTTCTATCACAAACTGATGGATTGCTTTGCAGGAATTATTTACATGAAAACTCACACCTAAGCACAATTTTTTCACTCTCCAGGTGACACCTCCTTTGACAATCTAACATGATTTCATCTTGAATGTAAAAGTAACACACACACACACATTTTTATTATTATTATTATTTTTGCTGACACCAAGCACTACTGAATATGCTGACATTTCATGGCCGATAGCTGGATCAATCAATCCTAACTAATTACTGTAAATAAATAAATAAATGGTCCATAAATCTGTGTGATCTAACAACACAGGGCAGGGGAATATAATTGATTTATGTAATCTGAAATTTCTGCAATACAATTTTGTGCAATTATGCTTGTTTACCTCTTTCAAGAGTGGGTGTCCCTGATGCATTTTGGATTTGTAGAGGAGGCTCCTGCTTCATTCTGCCCCAGTAGTTCCCCACAGCACAACTTGTGATTTATTAGCATTGTCTTTGAGGTCTACCAAATTTGTGGAAATACAATGCACCGAAGAGCGAAGATGGAACGGAGTTCAAAGGACTCATGAATAAAACCTCAGTGAATGATGCTTCAAGCTTCAAGCACAAACACTGAGTTGGCTAAATGCAAATAAAAACATTACTTTTGCTTGTCTCATATACAGAGGCAGCTGTGATGGGATCTGGCTAAGTTTAGCATAGGACTGGATTTCATGCCAAACTATCGTGCAAAATATATTTACTGAGAATACACATACAGTGGTACCTCGGGTTACATACGCTTCAGGTTACATACGCTTCAGGTTAGAGACTCCGCCAACCCAGAAACCATACTTCAGGTTAAGAACTTTGCTTTAGGATGAGAACAGAAATCGTGCTCCGGCGGCACGGCGGCAGCGGGAGGCCCCATTAGCTAAAGTGGTGCTTCAGGTTAAGAACAGTTTCAGGTTAAGAACGGACCTCTGGAAGAAATTAACCCGAGGTACCACTGTACTACAATATTAAATGAATGAGAAATATGGTGGTCATTATGAAAGCTTTCTTTGCATGCTGAATAAAATATGGCCTGGAGGTCATAGTGGCCTGAAGGCTGGAATCTGTAACAGAGATTGTGCCATATTGAGACTTAATAGGAGACAATCCTTTTGGTGATGGGACTCACTGTTGCCAGATCTCCTCAAGTGTTTATATGCACATGAAGGCATCCGTGGGGTTGGAACAGGCCTGCAAAAGAGCAACAAGGAGCAGCCTCCTATGGGAATTAAAAAATGAGCAGTCTCCTAATAAGCATATTGGACTGGAGAGAAGCTTTTTTGTGGGGAAGACTGATCAAAATGGGGCCTGCGAAGTGCCAAGCTATGGGAATAAAGCTTCCTAGTCGGCATTAGTGCTAATACAATAGCAATGGATCTTAATGACAGAGCTCAATAGAAGGGGCATTGCATGACGAAGGACACAGGTATAGAGCTGTCAGAAGGCACCACAGTGCAATTTTCTCAGTGAGGAAAGAGGTCTTTGGCCAAGAAGAATTCACAATCAGGTAACTGATGTCCGTCATGAAGAAAGGTGAAGGGTAATTTAAGTGAAGACGTACAATTAGGAAATTTAAATTTAATCCAATCACCAATAGGACATGCTTGATGCATTAGTCTTACTTCCCTATATTTACTGTAACTGTATAAAGGTGTCTATTTGCATCTGTTATGGGAAAGGTTGGTGGGAACCTCTAAGTGCTTCCCTTGGTGGAAGGCTACTTAGCACTCCTATATTCCCTTGCAATAGCACTGTTCTCACTGCTCAGTCACTTAGTTCTGGGGCATGTGCAGAATTCCAGCTGAACTGACCTTGTCAGTAACTCTGCCTTTATGGCCCATTTGCAGCATGAGAGCCTCTGCACATATTCATAGTAGAAGGGTAGAGGTACCTCTTGTCAAATTGCTCAAATGCCCACTTTGATGGATGATTTGTGTCCCCTACGTTAATGGAAACCTCACCCTGTCCTTCTGTCCCTGGAAACCATTCCCTTGGAATGACACTTGTAACGGAAATCTTTGTTGTGGGACCTATCTCTGACCACACCCTATCACCCTGAACCAATAGAAAGGGTTTTTAGTGGTTGGAAATGGATGACATGGGTGGAAATGACTCCTTATATTTATATTAACTCTACCACACTTTCCCCCCACACTTTCCCCATCTTTTTGTTTTTCTCTCTAATTCTCCACTGACAGTGAAGAATGCAGCTTAAGGTGAGGGGAGTGAAGACCTGTGCTCGATGCTGTATGTGCATGAAATGAGTCTTTCATAAGTGTCTCCATTGTTGGATTGTAAATCGCATGCAAAAAAGGAGGTTATGTTCATGATTCCCTTGCCCAGAGCCCATGTAGTCCAGTAAGTAAAGTACAGCTGTTCAGTGGGAGGAGCGGAAGGGGTTAGAAAGAGTCAGTCTTCACTATTTCTTCCTTACCAAACAGTTAGGATGATTTCCAGCATTTTTATTATTATTGGACTATCCATGCGCAGCCCTAGCTGCTTCACTGACTGAATCAGGCCCCAAGGTTTTTGCTATCACAGCAGTCTTTCTGATGCTTTCTGCTGAAAAACAGTTTTAACTGAAATAAAGCTCCACTCCTGGTATGGCCACAGTCAACAGTCAGCCCTTTTCCAGTGGAGCTGATTATGCATGCACAGCATATCAACATACTGAATGAGTTAAGTAGGTACCAAGGCTGAATATGTTGGAAAACATAGATCATCATTTTACTCACTCCCTTACATCATTTAACTCTGTGCTGGTGACCCTGGGACCTAGTAATACGTACTGCAACCAATAACCATAACTCTATGATCTGTATAGAATACATGAAGGATGGCAGCAAGGGTATAATTTATAACCTTCTGAAGTGCTGTGTTATTATTATGTGACTGTTATAGTGTTCGTAGAATGACAGACTCTTATTAGGTAGTCAAGCATGTGGGCTATAGTTTTGAAACCACTTTTGACAGCCTTGTTGATCTCAGTATTACTACTCACATGTCAATGGTGTAGGGATCAGAGCTGCACAATATCAATTAATCTACCACCATATCTAAATAGTGTGGGGTGTGTGTGTTTGTGTGTGTGTGTGTACGTGCTATTTTAAAGGAAGAGCTAGATTTCTGGTTAAGGTAAAATATCTCTTGCTCTCAAATGTTCACCGTATCTTTGAAACTTCTAGTCTTATCTAAGTTAAAATCATGGATCACATCGATCTGGCTGAGTTGTAATGTTTAACTATGGTTTAGCGTGAGCCTTGGCTTTGTGTGCTCTCCTTTGTACATCGCTTGCGCAGCCAAAAAGAGGACATGCATCATCAAAAGCGAGGACAAAAGAGAACACAGATTCGCATAAATTTTGTATCTGCTAATTTATATGCATAGATGCACATTTAGAAAGATTACTGTAAGTTAAGTAGTGATACAGTGCATCTCGCCATAGTGAGGGAAACTGTGGACCAAGGGACCTTAATGCTTGCTCAGTCAGCTGTTCAGATGCTAACTGTTGGTGGGCAACTTCAAGGCTCCTGCTGTCCCTTCTTATGATTCTTTATCTTTAAAGACTCAGACTGAGTGGCCCTTGAAATAGGGGATCCTTTCAAAGAGAGCTGTCCTCTGCAAAGTAGGACACATTCGCTATAGCCTTGCCTTTGACATGCTTCTGGACTTTTGATGTTGATTTTGGAATTAGTTGATTTTGGATGTAGAAAGAGTTGTTATGTGGAAGGGTTTCAGATAAGGCGAAGAAGTCTCACCCAGAACTGTTGGGGAATATCCATTTATAGAATCATAGACTTGTAGAGCTTGAAGGGACCCCAAGGTCATCTAATCCAACTTCCTACAGTGCAGGAATCTTTTGCCCATCGTGGGGCTCAAACTCATGACTCTGAGATTTAAGAGTCTCATGCTCTACCAGCTGAGCTATCTAAGGCCTGCATATCCGTGGTATGCAGGAGGAATAAGTAGTACTTTAATCTTTGCCAGTCTGCTTCCACATCTACTTGCATACATTGTTTTACCCTCGAATACGAGCATCCAGTCCTGATATTTACAGGTGGAAAATATATTTGCATTATTAGCTCACAGGTAAAAAAAATATCCAGTTCAGATGTGCAACAAAGCAGCTATCCCATGTGCATGAAACCCTACTAAGTGGGCTTAGGGAATTTTTCTTTCCATTAGCATTAGTTCTGATTTCTGAGACAAGGGCTTATATTTGGTGAAGCACTTTGAAGTCTCATGAGGATGAATAAGTGATAAGTGAACAAACAGAAGCGTGTGGATGGAGTATGTAAACTTTGGTGTTTTGCTTCATTATTGTTATTAATTCTGATATGTCTGTAATAAAGGGGGAAATTGGAAATGCCAGATCTGGAGCAGGAAAAGATAAATGCTGCTCATTTCTGCAAGCACATAGCATACTGCCTTTTGCTATCCTTAGGGGATGGAAGAGAATTTCATTCGGTCCTCATTTGAAAGCGAATTTCCATAATTCGCAGTCCCTGGACTTACAGGACACAGTTATCAGTCAGACCGAGCATTTCTCTGAATTTTGCAATGTAAGTTTGCTTAGCAAAAACACATACACATTATGGGGAAAATGCATACAAAAATGCATATTTTATTACCATTTGTTCGTTTTTTTAGGACAGCATACAAAATGAGCATTTTAGGGGAGGAAAATATGTACAAGACAAATACTTTAGGGAAAAGTGCTTATACAAAGATGTATATTAGGAGGAAATGCCCACACTTTAAAATTATTATTTTTGGTATGGAAAAAATAATTCTGCAGAAAGTGGGATGGAAGGAGCTTACAACTGAACACATACGAAACTGACATGGAATAGAGATAGGTTGGTCCGTCCATCACTAATAACCGCCAATAAGCGTTTAACAGAAAATCTGTAGCATTTCCGTCTCTTTTCCAGTATGTAACTGTGTTTTTGTTTCGTTTCTCCCTTCGGCTCAGTTCATTTCTGCAACAATACACCACAACAGCCATAGTTACCCAAAAACAAATGGCAGCTTTTATACCACAGGGGCTGCAACACAGATTTTCTTTTAAAAATCAAATGGCAAAACGTGGAGCAGTTAGCATATGTGCTTCAGTCCCTTTGCTTCACTTGGGTGACACTTTAATCACTTTTTTATTCTGCCTTGTTGAAGGAAGAGACTGGAAGACATATGCCACTTCCCCACCTTAACTGTGCATTTTCTAGTTTGTTTGGATTTATGTCACAACCTTAATGGGATTTAAATGGAATTTTTATATGTGAATAATACTTGGCATTAATGCACGAACTTGGGGCTGCTGTGCTCTCAAGTTGATTTGCATAAAGGTTTTAAAATATAAAAGTAGAATAGCCGGGCTATTGTAAATTGTCAGGCAAAATGTGACACTGGCATAATAGGAAAGAGAAGGAACAAAAACTGTGGAAGCGAGTGCTTTCCCCCGGGGTTAATTTTTCAATATTAAGGTACAGCAGGGGGCAGGGAGGAAGGAAAGCTGGAGGTGATAGTCTTTGGGGGCTTAGTTATTGGAGGATTAAATGGGTGCAGCGGGCAGTTCAACACTGTGAAGCTGGCAGGTTTCCCCTAAAAACACAATTCTCTTTGTATTATAAATGCTGCATATATATATAAGCTGCAAGTACATTCATCTCATTATTTGCCGCCACTGCTACATATTTGGTAAGATGTAATAATTCTGCATTGTAATTGACTTCAAACTTGTGCATTACAATAGCAGGGCTTTTGTGAAAAGGATCGGTTGCTTGGACAAACAGCTCTGCGATAGTGATTGATCTAATAGGATGAAGAGTATACAGAGGTTGTTAAGGACCAGGGCCAAGGGCCAGCATTGTCAGGTAACTATTTATTTTTATTGACTGTGCTTATTTCATTTATATCCCACCTTTCCTCTGAGGAGCTCAAGGTAGCTTACATGCATCTCCCCTCTTCTCCATTTTATCCTCAGAATAATCCTGTTAGGCTAGGAGACAGTGACTAGCCTAAGGTCACCCAAGGAGCTTTATGGCTGAGTGGGGATTTGAACCCTGGTCTCCCAGGTCCTCATCCAACACACTAACCCATACCCTCCAACATGCGGAGGCCGAGAACCGGGATGCGCATCTTCCTAGCCGGGCAAGTAACATGTGCTTTTGTGCTCCGTGCTCTTGTGTGAGGTCGCAACCGTGAGCATTTTGGGGCTCTGTGATCTCACGTGAGATCACGCTCTCATGCATTTTTGGGCTCCGTGCTGAGAGCATGGCACCCAAAAACAGGCTAACCACCACACCACACACTGCCAGTCTTGGAGCATCCTGACTCTATTGCTTCTTCTTGGTGGTGCTGTTGTTCCCTCTTCACCTGTCCTCCCTGTGTGAGTGAGCAGTGATGGGAGCTGTTCACCTCATCTCTCCCTCTAGGCTGTCATGTGAGTTAGGCGAGATGAAGAGGGAAAGTAGATGTGCAGGAGTGAGAGTGGCAGGGGCAGACCTTTGTAATATGACACCTTGTGCGAAGCAAAAAATTGACCGCCCCCTCAGCCCAAAGCTGCCTTCTCAAAGTTGGGTAAGCAAGATGCTGGGCTTCGGGAAGGAGGCACAGGAGCTTTGGGAGGGTCCTAGAGTCCCCCGTCTCCTTTCCAAAACTGCACAAGAGCAAGCTAGGCTTTGGGAAGGAGGTGGAAGAACTCTAGGATTCTGCTAGAGCCCTCACACCTCCTTCCTGAAGCAAGGACTTACTAGGCCTTGGGAAGGAGGTGGGAAGGTGTTCCCTCAGCTCACTGTCCTGTGGAGGGGAACCGGTCGTGCTCCCCTAAATCTGCCTCTGAGTGGCCATAGTGCTGGAACATTGCTTGGTGGTAGAGCACCTACATTCCATGCAGGTTCTGTCTCCAACTTCTCCAGAGGAGTTTTCTGAAAAGCCTTTTTGGGGAGGTAATGAAATGCAGACTCCAGAGTTCACAAATTTGATTGGAGCAACTCTGCGTGTGCCCATAACCCTTTCCGTGTAGGCTGTTTTTGCAATCAAAGTCCTCTCCTTGGCTGTTTGTGTGTCTTCATCTTTTTTTATTTCATTAGCGTCAAATACACAGTCTCATAAAATACTGCCAGATAATCAGGTGCCCGACAACAGATTACATTCTTATTGAAGACATTTTCTCTCACTGTTTTCAAATACACAAAATTCAGCATGGGAAGAGATTCTGTCTACAAATCACTTGCATAAGGGCAGGTACTGGGGTAAGTGTTCAGACCTTTTAAGCTTGGGTTTCACTGACAATTACCTACATTTAACAAGAAAAGACAAAAAGAGGTTCATGGTAAACTGAAGTTTAAGATGAACGCAATTAAACTAGTAATCTCCTCAACCAATTCCCACACAACTAATCCCGTCTCCCCGTTGTCTTTTCTCTCCTAGCTGGCAACCAACAAAATGCCCATCCCAAGTGCCATGCAAGGCTCCCTTCAACTCTGCTTTTATTTAGCTTAACACCCCATATACCAAGCAAATCTCCCTCCCCTCCTCTCCAAACACAAACAAACCCCAAACACAGTTCTTTGCAGAGGGTTTTCTTTCTGCTGTTTCTTTTCATTATAAAGCTCACACATGCCGGTTCCTTCAAAGGATAAGTGGCATTTGCTACCAATCCCTTAACTTGAATTGTGACACACTGCACATTCTGACTTGGATAGATGTCGGTTGGGAGGTGATGGAGAGGACCTTGAAGTCTGAATAGTTTGATATTAACTTCTGCCCAAACCTTTTAGAGTTTAGCCACCTACTGAGTGATACTGATATGTGAAGGATCAATTGAAGGAGCTGCTTTAGAAAGTGGGGGTTGAGCTCTAATGTTGACTTCAAAACAATTTCTCCTTTGACAGGGATAGAGAGGATACACAAAATATATTAAAAGAGATATGCTTGCTAATCATGGAAGGTACTACCATATTTTCATTGACTGTTTATACAGGTCATAAGGCAAATGTGCTTCTTCTGAATTCAGGATTTATTATATGTTTCTGATCTCTGTCTTATTTATATACAAATATTCCCCCCAATGCATTGCAAATGATAATTTTATTAATGATAATAAACTGCATATTCCACCTTGAGCTCCTTGATGGAAAGAGATCGGATATACATTTAACCACAATAACAGCATTAAATTTCTGCCAGTTATGTGTTTACAGTGCGCATCAAATGTGACTTTTTTTGAATTTTTTTGATGAGGTTTTCTGATGGACTGAGGCATGCTGGAGTATTGTGCTGTGTCTGCATTTATATGGAGCACATAGTATATGAAAGTTTTATTCCATCTGCATGTGAGTCCTGTGACATGGAACTGTCCTCTGTATGACATTTTCATGCACTATGTACCCTTGCATAGGTGAACTGTAGCTTAAATTATTATGAATGTCCCCTTTTTTGTAGAAATGGAATTTAACACTTTTTAAAAACAGCGTTTAAGAGGGAAGCGTTTAATCTTCTGGCCTCTCCTTGGTTTGCCCTGGTGCTTAGATAGAGCAGTGCCAAGTGATATTATGGTATTGTAAGATCAAGCCTAGAGTGCCTTCTATTATCTCAACACAGATGGGTAAGTTCTGAGTGGAATGTGGCCCATCCCATTTCACCACATGAAGCAAAAGAAGAAAGTGCCACTCCACCCTAACCAAAACCTGGCTTACTGGGTATGTGTGGCTGCAGCAGCTCTGGTTTCCAGCGAAATCTCGCGAGAGTGCCATGAGATCTCATGAGCACCCACTGAAAGCAGCTGCTGCAGCTGCACAACCTTAGTGGCGGGGGTGTGTGTGCTCCCAAGCCTGCTGTACATCATAAAGGCTATATATGTTTTTGGGGATCAAGAGGCTTTCTAAACCAAAATAATCCTACTAATAATAACCAGCTTGCTCCATTCTTGCCA